TCCTCCCAGCACAAAACCTGGTGGGTTTGGGCACCATTTGCTGTGCTCTCACTGCCACTGGAGCAGCAGTGCATCCTTACCCACAGCATCCTTTACTGCCTCCTTTTTCCTGAAACCTGCTTTCAGATAGTTGCTGCAGGCAGACTTAATTTCTCCTAGATTGAACAATCTGCATCATCTTAATAACTATTTCTAACTAAGTGCAGATAAGTGGTAACTCTCCAAGCCAAGGTGACTTAGTTTCTGTGTGAGCTGCTGGTCTGCAGCAAACAGAGGCTTAAACCCTGAACTGTTTGTGTGGTATCAGTGTAAGATTTTGGTTCCTTATAAAATGAAGCCTGGATCCTCCAGATTTGCTACTTTCTTTGCCCCAGGCCCTGCTATGAAGCAGGGAGGGGTATTGAGATAGAAATGTTTGCAGTAGCCAGACCAGCCTTGGTTAAAGGCTGTCAGAATGGATGATGTTTGACAACAACATGCAACAGATCCAGGTTTGGATTTTCTGTCATTCTGAGGGATTTTAGATGTGAGGTTCCTCCAGTCAAGAGGAAACCTTCTGAGTGGGGGAGCACTGTGATGGAAGCACACAAACCTAATGGAAAATGTGAAAACCTCTGCTGTACCATGAAGGCACCATAAAATGATAAAAATGTCATCTGGACAGAGTTAGCTGGTTTTCTGCAGGACAGCTTGCTCGGAAATATGTGCAGCTGTAAACACAACCAGCACATATGTCACCCCCATCTCCTTGGTTTCTAGGGAATTATCAGCTGGGAGAGACGTGATGAGTTTCTTGGGCCCATTTTTACCTTGTTTAGCATCTCATCAAGCCAAGGGCAGCACTTAGGGGCATGATTGCCATCAGTGCACCTTGGGGTGGGAAGAGAGGGCATAATTAGCCCCAGGTTCTGGCCTTGTGGCAATTCAATCATTTTATGGGGTCAGGTTGTTTTTATTCTTTTGCCACAAACTCAAGGAGTTGTTTGCATCCCCGCTCAGGCCCACTGAGGTGTAAAGCAATATGCTGCAATTAGATCTTAACTGCTGCATAACCTGGTAGCCAGCTGCTTTCAGTGAGTGAAGCATCCCTCCATAACCTCTTTTCCAAGCCTTTGGAGGTGACCTCTTTTGTCACAGCCATCCTGCAGAAAGCAGGGGCTGAGATCAAAGCTCTGCTGCAGCCATCGGATGGAGAGCCCTTCATCAGCAGTGTAAGCCCCTTAATTGCCACTCCTCCCTCTTCCCACAGCTCCTGGAGGTCTGATGCCCCTCTCCCTCCTGGCTTGTGCTGCTTTATACACCACATTCAAATAACATCCATATTTTTCCCTCCCCTCCCTCCCTCCCTCCTGTGCTTTGGCTCTCGCAGAGGTCGTCGGCTCAGGCTTTGAGTGAGATCACGGCCAAAGTGCTGAGAGCCATAAACGCCACGGAGGCAGCGGTGTGGGAGTCGGTGCATGGACAGAGCCAGGGCTGTGCCCTCCCTGCAGGGCAGCTTCCAGGCCTGCCAGATGGGAGAGAGGTGGCCGAAGTGTACCGGGAGCTTGAGGAAAATGTAAGGCTCCCCAGAGCTTTTGGGCAGAGGAGGGGGTGGGAACACAAAGGAATCGCCCCCAAAATTTTGCTTGTTAGGGGGTAGGTCAGCACTGAATGGATGGTCAGCAGGAAGATTTAAAAAGTCTGGTCTTAGAGGATGGTACAACAGCAAAAGAAGATGCTGTGTCTTGTGGCTTTCCTTCCCTTGGTTCCTGGGTGATGAATGTGGTCCCCACCCTGCTGTAGCATGGCTTTGCTGGACTTCAGCAATCCCTGCTCCAGCAAAACTTGTGTCCCATTCCCTTCAGCTCCTCCCCAGCACTGTGTGTTTCATCAAGGGGTTTATGAGCAACACCCCCTCTTCACTGAGGCTGCTTGTGCCTGGGGCTGATGGGCCCGTGCAGGTGGCAAGTTCACAGCCAGAGCTCAATCCCCCTGCAAGGTTTGTGTGACCCCAGAGCACTGACAGCTTTTTTAGCCACCATAAACACGTAGGAATTGATTCCCTGTGGAAACGTTGTGCATCCACAGTGCCCTGTGCCAAGCTCCAAAGAAAGAGTTAAAAGAAGAGTTGGATCACCATCTGGGTGGTCGGATTTTGCTGTAGGGAATGTCCTGCAATGAGGAGCAGGGTTTTAGGACACACTCTGTGGCTCATCTCTCACAGGGGAAAGCTTATAAGTAAAAGCAGGGAGCTGCAACACCTGGATGCTTTCTGGCCAAATACAGCATCCCAGGGGAAGAGGGTTGGATGCATGAAGATTTTGGGGTTCCCTCTCTCCAAGAGAGGGGATAGGGCTGGGAAGGACGTGAACTTGGGGCTTAGTGCTGCTGCTGCTGTCAGCTCGGGTCAGGGTGGGTAGACAATGGCCCTGGGAGATGTGTGTCATCCTGCCACTCCCTCGGGGATCCTGGCTGAGTCAGGGCTGGCTGGCCACTCTGTCCTCCTCTGCAAGGCATGCCACCCACCTTGGAGGGCACTGAGAGAGTCTGGTGGGCCAACAACAAATCTCTGTGACTCAGGCTGGGTGCTGCATGGCCTTAGGATTTGCACTGGGATGGGTGGGACCCTGGCAGTGTGGTGCTGTGATTTGGGTGGATGGGCTGTAGTTCAGTGCATGCAGAGAGCTCCTGCCAGGCAGCTTTGCACAGTGCCCAGCCCAGGGAAAGCTGGGAGGGCTGGAGAAGCAGCAGCTGCCACAGCAGTACCAAGATCTTGGGATCAGTCAGCAGAACAGTGGCCACATCTGATCATCTGATGGGACTGCATGCTGATGTGTTAATGTTTCCTGAGCTGCCTTGCTTGGACATGTGTCCTCGTAGTTACCTGGGAGGAGACAAGTGGCAGTAAAACCAGAGGGTTTATTGGGATAGATCCTTTTACCCTTCTTCTCCAGGCAGCAAAGTCTGTCCTACTCTGACCCTGCTCCCAGCAACACAGACACCCTTAAAACAGACTGAGCAGGTTTGGAGAGTCAGTTTGTGTCCTTCCCAGCTCAGCCCTCACAGGACAAAGCAGCCTGATCTGGTTTGCAGGTACCTGCTCTCCCTCTGAGCACACAGCACAAAGCACTGCTGCTTCTCGAGCAGGCCACTGAGTTTTGGTCCGTCCTTGTGTTCCCACAGAGCCTCTTACCACTTCACACTGTTGGTAATTGCTCTCAAAAAGCCCAGGGAAGGGAGAAAATGAGAAGAAAAGCCATGTCAGAGCTGACTGGCACTGTCTGTGCTGCAAGGCAATAAGGCAGTCAAAACAGAGTGGCAGGAGCTGCTGCATCTGGGGCCGCAGTCACAGAGGAGAGGAGAACTCCAAGGAGATTAATTCCTCAACACAATTTTTCCTTTTGCTGTATTTCAGGTGTACCTGACTGCTGGAAAGACCTACCAGCTTGAGAAGACCCTGAAGGAGCTTGAGGAAGGGGCTCAGCACAGCGGCACTACTGACTCGGAGCTGTCAGAGCTGGAGGACAAAGTGGCCTCAGCAGCTGCTCAGGTGCAGCAGGCAGAGAGTGAGGTGAGGGCCTGACCCTGACAGATGCTTTGCCTGGCCACTGATGGCAAACAAAGCCACTGATGGATCCTCCAACCACCAACTGTGTATTTTCTCCTCCTTCTAAAGATATCGGATATCGAATCCCGGATTGCAGCTCTGTCTGCTGCAGGGCTGACAGTGAAGTCTGTGGAAAAGGCAAAGAAGAAGTCGAGTGTGCAGGTGAGCGTGGAGGGTGGTGGCTGTGATGTAGCTGCTCCCCCGAGCTGTAGCTGCTGTCCCTGGATGCTGGGGAGGGCTGCCTGGCTCGCTGAGCCATTCCCAGCTCTCCCCGTGCTGCCTGGTGCTCTGCCATGGCAGACTGAGGTGTCTGCCTCCTCTTGCACCCCCAGAGACACCTCTGCCTTCCTCTGTCCACAGGCTGCCTGTCTCCATTCTCCTGGTCCTGCCAGCAGCAGTCCCGGGGAGTCTTTGGATGACATTAAAGTGAGTGTGTGTCTAATCACAGGCTGTGCCTGTGGCACAGCACCAAGCCTGGACACAACCAGGGGGCTGCCATCAAAGCAGTGGCCTCAGTGGAGACCTCTGCCCTCCCATCCCTCACCCACAGCAGGCTGCTGCCTTTCTCTTGCAGGCAATGCCCGGACTGCAGAGGTTCAGGAGGAAGTTCAACAGTCCCCTGGAAATCACCAGTAAGGCCCATGGCCCTGCCCATGGCAGATGGGCACCCGTGGGTGGCTGGGCTGGGCTTTGGGGGATGCTGCTCCTCTCTCTGTCCCCCTCTGCATCCAGCTGTGGGTCTGCAGGGGACTCCCCTTCCCTGTGCTCACGGGCTGCTGGTAGGACAGCCACAGGGGACACCTGTGGTGGGTAACTGGGAAAGGAGGCAGGGCTGGGGGCAGTGATGGGACAACAGGGATCAGGCTGAGGTGGCTGAGTCCTCCAAAAACCAGGACTTCTCTGCAGCCACAGTCCAGGGGGCCACCTATGTGCCTTCATCCCCTGGATTGTTAGGTCTCAAAGCCTCACCTAAGCCTATCCTCTCTTCTGACAGCAATTTCTCCCTTGCTTGGCCACCCTGGGGAAAGTCTCCTTCCCTGGATGGCATGTCCCACCCCTGGAAGTGTTCCAGGCCAGGTTGGACAGGGCTTGGAGCAACCTGGTCTAGTGGAAGGTGTCCCTGCCCATGGCAGGGGGTGGAACAAGGGATTCCAAATTCCTTTCAACACAAACCATTCCATGGCTCTGTGAATCTGTGAATCTTCACCCTGCTGCCCACCTGACTCAGCCACTGGTCTCTGCTGGGGGGCAAGAAGGCCTCCAGGGCCCAACTATGGACAAACAGCAGCTTGGGAGAGCTTCAAAGTAAATGGTGGCCTGAAATTTGGCACAGCAGCTGATGTGGTGGGGGGACAACCACTGGAAATGCTTCATTCTGACCAGTATCAGCGAAACCTATTAGGAAATTTCTATTTCTCTCTTATCTCCCCTCACAAGCTTAAAGGCAGAAAGAGTGACTCTCCCTCCAGGTAATGGAAGATGAAGGGAGGGAAGGGAAGGAGGATCATATATTGCAGAGGTAGAGCAGCATTCCCCCATTCACAAAGACAATTAACAGTGCTGTTCCCCAGGCTGGGCTGGTAGGTGGAACGGTCCCTTATCCTCATCCTGAGGAGGAGTCATCTGCTCTCCTTCCTGCAAAGGGCAGGCAGAGAAAGGCAGCCCTGTGAGGAGATTGAGGGAAGTGCAGTGGGGACAGACGTCACCAGGCAGACCTAATCCCCCATGCCTGGGCTGGGCCAGGGCTGATTGTTCTCCTGCTGGCCTGCCTGGCAGGGACTTGGAAATTGGGCCTGAAAAGCTGCAGCTGGTGGAAGGTGGTGGCAGAGGACAGGAAATGAATTAACAGGTCCAGGGGGTCTCAAGGCTGGAGCAGTGAGAGCTGAGAGCTTCTTCCAGGCTGGGGTTTCGTTGTACCACAGAGCTTTCCAGAGTAGAGGCTGACCCAGCTCACGCAGGGCTCTGGAAAGCTGAGTAGCAGCAGCTCTCATCTCCTCCTTACCGAAGGAGGGATGCATCCAGACCTGCAGCCAGAGGGGGATGAATCAATCCCGAGTGACTTGGTGGGTCGCTGAGAGCTCTGGTGAGGTGGGTGAGGCCCTGCTGCCCAGCTCTCCTCCCTCCCTGCAGGTTTTGACGACTCCTTTGACCGTAACTCGGTGTACCGCGGCTCGCTGACGCAGAGGAACCCCAACGGCAAGAGCAGGAGGGTGGAGCGGCTCTTCGCGGTACGGACCAGCCCCGGGGGCTGCTGGCCCAGCTCCTCTGGCACCTGTCCTGCCCCCTTTCTCCTCAGGCTGGTGCAGCCCCCAGCTCTCAGTGCTGCTCCCTCCGTGCTGCCTGGTGAGGGCAGGAACGCCTGGGCACCACCCCTGAGGCCGGGGATGAGAAGATGAACATCTCTGAATTTCCTGCGTGGTCCGTGGGATGGGGCAGGGACTCACCCGTGCAGTGGCAGCCAGGAAGGGACAAGGAGATGCTGGGTTGGCTCAGGGTGGTGTGGACACGGTGGTGAGCTGAGGTTTCTCCTTCTTGTGCCCTGCAGAAGCCTGTGATGACCCACCTGTCCTGAGGAGAGGGGACCTTCCTGCTACAGCATTTCAGTGAAGACACCAGACCTCAGCAAAGCAAAGCCTCGGACAGCCTTCCCTGCAACACTTTCTCCTCCTTCTCCTGAGCCCCTCTCTCCCTGAAACCCTGGACAGAAAGGAAACCAGAGGCCATGGGCAGGAGGCTTTGCTGGGAGTTGATGGGAAGAGGAGCAAAGCACTGGGGTGCAGACATGTGGTCAGGGGATCTCATGGGAGGATGCTGGAATGAGACCTTGGGTTGGGGCAGCTCTTTGATACTGGGTCAGCCAAGGGGACCAGAGAGGTGCAGAGCAGGACGACCTCCCTGGGGGGAGCTGGGTGTCAGTGTGGCATTCAGCACAGGGCAGGGACAGCCCTCGCTAGGCAGAAGCTGTCAGTGCCTGTCCCTGCTCTCTCCCAGGCTGCTGTGAGCAGGGACAGAAGCTGACAGTGAGTGTGGAATGCCCTTGGGGTAGCCCAGGTAGAAGAGGGACCCGGGCATCCCAGTGCAGGAATTCACATCCCAATGCTGGTCCCAATTCCCTGCCTTGTCCCGTGGAGCTTTGCTTCCCTGCCCTGAGCAGCAAAGGAGGATGAGATCAGTGCTGGTCCCCTCCCCAGGGAGCACTTACTCTTTGCCCCAAGCCATGCAGACACCCCCTGAGGCTTCTGCCACCAGCCTGAAGCAGCTGTGGCCATCAGGGGATGGGAGTGAAGCGAGGCCTGAGGGGAGTGGTGGCAAGAAAAGTGGGAGGAAAGGCTGGAGGGCTTGTTGGGGACATTGGCTTGCTTTTTCAGCTCTTGAAGACATCTCCACTGCGTGTGAGGCTGTCTCAGCAAGGGTGAGACAGAACCCCAGCACGCAGGGTGTAGGTGCTCCTGTGCTCCACAGAGGGGTCAGCCCCTGCTAAGATGCACTTGGGTGGATGGGCATGTCCCCTGTCCCTGGTGATGGCATTGTGGAGCCTCTTAGGGCCACCCCATCCTTAGGCAGGGCTGTAATGACCTCCAGGGGTTACAGCAGCCCTGGGCCCCTGGTGTCAGCCTGCCCCAGCTCCCCCAGGACATTTGTTTTCCTCCAGTATTCAACTCTCCAGTGATCCCAGTGGATCAGTACTGGCCCCACACCCATTAGGATGGGCAGAGGGTTGCTTTCTCTTGCAGGTCCCTTTAGAAGAGTTTTTTTTTTTTGTTCAGTTCCTGTCCTGTACAGCCCCACTCTCCTCCCTCCCCGGCGGGCAAAGGGGGGAGGATTGCTCACAGCTGGAGCAGGGACATCAGCCCAGTGCTGAGCTTCCCCTGCATGGCCACCCAGGCTGGATCATTTTAGGCAATTCCTGTACATCTGAGCTAAAACCACTTTAATTACGAGCAGTAGGGTGAGCTCTCAAGCAAGTAACACTCATTTGGCTTGGTAGGAGTAGAGGCTGCTAACTGCCTAGGAATTGGTCCTGTGGTCATCCCAGAGAGTATTGTAAGTCCACAGTCTGGGCTTCCCAGCTGGAAACAAAACCAGTTTCTTAATTTAAAATTAAATCCTTGTGGCCTGAAGCTCAAAAGGGTAAGTGCAAACCTCTACTCTCACAGAAGCTCCCAGACACTGCGGCTTCACTGGATCCAGCCAGGGGCTGTGCTGGGATGGCAGCTCCTGGGCTGGAAAAGGGAGCTCCACCAAGATCATCCACAGGGTTCGCACCCACCTTTCTGGCATCAGGGTTCAGCCCTCACCCCAGCCCCATCTCCTGCTTGTCTGGTTCCAGCCATGACTCCAGTCCTTCCACACCTGACCCTGTGGAGGAATCCTCACAGGGAACCTCAGCAGTGCAGACCAAGGCATCGTTCAGTAGCCACTCAAGTTGTTCTTTCCTGGTTTCCTGACCCATTTGCCTGTGTAGCAATTATAATAAATGTTCACTAAATCATGCAATAAAGCAAATTTTGTGTCCAGAACCACCCACCCATTTCCCAGTGTCTGTTTTTTCAGCGCACTCGAGTGAAGGCTCCTTTCTCTTCCCATGGAATCCCAGAATGGGTGGGCTTGGAAGGGACCTCAAAGCCCATCTGCTCACACCCCCTGCCAAGGCCAGGGATGCCTTCCACTAGCCCAGGTTGTTCCAAGCTCTGTCCAGGCTGGCCTTGAACACTTCCAGGAATGGGGCAGCCACAGTTTTCTGGGCACCCTATGCCAGGGCGTCCCCACCCTCACAGGCAACAATTCCTTCCCAGTATCCCACCCATCCCTGCCCTCTGGCAATAGGAAGCCATTCCCTGTGTCCTGTCCCTCCATCCCTGGTCCCAGGTCCCTTTCCTGGAGCCCCTCGAGGCACTGCAAGGGCTCCAAGGTCTTCTCAGAGCATTCGCTCCTCCAGCTGAGCACCCCCAGCTCTCCCAGCCTGGCTCCAGCCCTCAGAGCACCTTCATGGCCTCTTCTGGACTTGCTCCAGCATCTCCGTGCCCATCCATTTCTTTAACCATCCTGTGCACTCCTTGCTTTAAAGCTGGCCAGGTGGAGCAGGCAGGAGCTGAGCCAGCAGCACTGAAGGCAAGTGGGGGCAGCTGGTGCACATCAGGATGGCCACATGACTGGCCAGACACTGGCCACCTGGCCACAGGTGTGATGGGGTGGGTCAGTGGTGCCCAGCGGGCAAAGGAGGTGCCCAGGCTGGTGCTGAGGAGGGCACAGCTCCAACTTGCATGGAAACCCTGAACCCAGTCTGGCAGCTGAAGCCACAAGAAACACAAGCTCGCAGCATGAAGGGATTGCTTTAAATCTGTATTAAATATTAGCAGCCCTGGGGTGGAGAGGGGCCTGCTGAGCCCGGGGTGGGGATTTCCCTGGCTGAAGCCCAAGCTGGGGCAGGTTCTCCTCTCTTCAGCCCTTCCCCTGCTTTGCTGCACATCTGAGGCAATCCCCGTGTCCCACGCTGCTCCTGCCACCTCTGCCCAGCACGGGCTGTGCTCGGGCAGGGGTGCTGGGCACTGCTCTGTCCCAGGGCAAAGCCACCCCACAGGGGGTGGCAGACAGAGACCTTCCCCTGCCCACACCCCACTGCTGACGGTGTCTTCGCAGTCCTGCCAGCACAGAGATGTCCCTGTTTTGGGATGTCTCCAGTCCCACTTTTGTCTGTTTGGAAACAACTGCCCCTCACGCTGGAACCCCAGGCTGGCTCCTTCAGTGTCACATCTAGCAGAATAAACATCAGAAAATTTTAAAATCCCTTTTAAATGGGAGTGGGGGGCCGGGGGTGGGGATTTGGATCCCTCACGCCCAGAGAACAAGCCCTTTCCTGCCAGCCCGTGTTTCCCGGCACATTTCCTTCCTCTGGTCTCTGTATTTGGTGTTCTGCTTTCCCCGGAGCAGGTTTTTTGGGGTGAGCGGAGGGAAGGGGTGGAGGTACCGGTGCAAATCCTGCGGTGGTTACGCCGCTCCCTCCAGCGCCCAGGGCAGCAGCGCACCCCGACCCCGGCAGCGGGCGCCGGGTGGGAGAAGGAGCAGAAAACTTCCCTTGTCCGAAATAACCCCGCGCCGAGAACGGCGATTAACACATTCCCAAACCGTGTCCCTCAGCCAGCGTCAGATAAAACGCGGGTCCCTTCTGACTCATGAAAATCCTGATTTGATGAGAGGGGACAGCGGGGAGGGGAGATGCCCCGGCTCGGTGCCCGCCGGGGCTCGCCTCTGACATCAGCACGGATCCGGCCATAAAAGCGGCCACCGGCGGGGACTCCGCTCGCACAGCCGCGCCGGGCTCAGCGGGACGGCAGCCGCCGCCTCTGCCCGCCCCGCCCCGGTAAGTGCGGCCCCGCCGCTCCTCTCTGCCTGCCGGGATGCTCTTCTGCTGGGTAACTCCCCAGCGCTGCTTTGCCTCCGTCTGTCTGTCTGTCCTCGCGTCTGTCCAGCCGGCTGGTGGGGATGGGGTGGGGGGGGCAGTCCAAAAGTTGGTGGCCACAGCACACCTGAGCTCCCGGCAGCCCGGTGTGTCTCCTGCTCAGCACTTTTCCTTCGCGAAAGTCGCTGGAAATGGAGCAGCCGCCGCAGCCCCGCCGTGTCCTGCCTCGCCCGGCTCCTCCGCTTGGCTCCCCTCCCTGCTCCCTGCTTTGGGTGGCTGCAGAGACCCAGCCCAGCGCTCAGCCTACCCCTGCTCAGCGCCTCAGTGCCGTGAAGTGTGGCACAGGGTGTTCCCAGGCTGTCATTTCAGCAGCCGCGGCCAGGGGTGGGTGCCAAGGGTGCAGAGGTGATCGTCCATGCATCCATTACCCATCCATCCATCCATCCATCCATCCATCCATCCATCCATCCATCCATCCATCCATCATCCATCCCCCATCCGTGGCTCTGCAGCAAGCCTTGCATTTCAGTGGTGGACTTGTTCCCTTGGGCTCTGGGGTGCAACAGGTTTATTGAGGGTCCCAGAGAAAATCAGGCCTGTCCTAAGGCACTAGACTAGGACCAAAAGCTATTTCAATGACCATGAAGTTTGCGCAGCTCATGTTTGAAGGTGGTATTTTCCCCAGAGGTGTCAGCCCCAGCAAACTCTGTTGCTGTCCCCAAGCCCTTTGCTGCTGGCCCAGGGACGCTGTGACGGGGACACACATCAACAGCCAAATCCCTTCTCCCCTGCAGTCACATCGGAGTCCTCAGCAGGGCTCAGGAGACTTCACAGCCGAGTCACAGCGGCCTGGAAGTGCTGGGGATGAAGCTGCGGGTCGCCTGCCTCCTGTGGCTGCTGCTCGTCTGCCTGACCCTGCCCGCCAGCCACGGCCGCGTCCGTGAGCGCTCCATGGAAATCAGGAGTAAGGAGAACATGAGTAAGGGACTCACCCCAGCCACCCCCTGCCTCCAGCCCCCTCTGCATCCCCAGGCTCAGCTGCACTTTGAGGGGTGAGGAGCTGCTGGAGCACAGGTCCGCTTTCAAACAGCCTTTGCAGCAGCTTTTACCCTCCTCATCCCCTTTCCCTGCTCCCTGGTGCTCCCATCCCCTCCCTCGTGGGCGCAATGCCCCGTCCCCTTCCCGGCCACCCAACCCCCGACGGGCTCTCGGCTTTTCCCTCGCAGACCCGGACATCGACCCCTCGTGGTACACGGGCCGCGGGATCCGGCCGGTGGGGCGCTTCGGGAGGCGGCAAGCCCAGGGCGGGGGCGGCGGGCCCGGGCAGCGGGGCTGCGCCGCCCCCCGCCCGCCCCGGCTGCGGCTGAGCCCCTGAACTGGAGCTGGCAATAAAATCCCTTCTCCTCTCCCCCCGTGTCCCAGCCTCTCTGTTCCGATCCGCAGCGTGGTGCGACCCCCAAATCTGCATGGTCGCCATGGGTTTCTGTGTGACGGTGGGACTGCGCCTGTGGGACAGTGGGACAGCCCTTCCCTCTCACATTTATCCCCTCACACCCCAAGAAACACCCTAAAAATGATCTCAGAGGGACCCCTTTCCCAGGGGTCTCCCAGGGGTGTCCCCAACACCTTCATTTCCATGAGCTGGGGACAGAAACAGGCATCCCATTTCTGGGGAGCTGGGGTCAGAAACACCTGGGGAGATTGTGATGCTCTGTCCACCACACTGCCATGCTCCAAAACCTCAGAGATCACTGCCCTGCAGACAGGGTGAGTGCTGCTGCCTCTGGAGAGAGCACAGGTGGTTTTTTCTTCTCTTCCAGCCAAGGGGAGCTCCCACGGTGGGCTCAAAATTGTGTAAAGGAGAGGCCCAGCAAGGCACAGGGCACTGTGACACCACACGTTGGCTTTGGCCCCCTTCTGGCTCGGTGATTGCCCCCAAGGTTGAGCTGTGACCCCTGTAATGGGTGGATGGGGTGAGGGGAGCACTGGCTCTGGTCCCTGCCACCCCCAGGCTTCCTGTGGTTCCCTACAGGCTGACATGCAGGATAGGTGGGGAAAAAAATACACCTTTAAGGCAATATTCTCTTTATTTGCAGCCTGGGTGTAAAACCACCGGGATCTTTGCTTTGGGAAATTAAACCCTCCCTTTTCAGAGGGAAAGGGAGATGGAGGAGGTGACAGCTGGGGGTGGGGGCACGTCACCAGTCAGGGTTGGTGGCAGTGCTCCTGGCAGCTTGTGCTTTTCTCTGGAAATGGAAGATTGGAGGAAGAAATCCCTGCGCTTTACCTCCCAGCTGAAGATGGAGCTAAAGGGGTGAAGAGGCCCTGGGTACCCAGGATGGGCTCTGAACGGGCTGTGAGAGGGAGGGTGGCCAGGCTGAGCCGTCCCTGCAGCTCTGAGCCCCCCTGCTTTGTCACTGTCCCCAAAGGAGGTGGGGTCCAGCCCTGCTGAGTGCAGAGTGTCACATCCTCAGCTCCGGCAGCACCCCGTGCTCGTCCTGCTTGCCCTCAGGTCCACAGTCACCCTCCCACGTGGGGATGGCTTGGATGCCTTCTCTTTTTCCCTCCTCAGGAGTTCCTGGACTAGGAGGAAACACAAGGCAAAGAAGGGCTCCTTTCTCCTGCCAGTGGTTGGGATGCAATGGCCACCCCGTGTCCCACCCCAGGGCACCATCCCACAGCTCCCTGAACAGCTGAGCTGGGGACGCCGTTGCACTACCAGACTGGATACCAGTGCAAAATACAATTGTGGCTCTGGGAGAAGGCCTGGAAGCCCTGTCTGACACTGAAATATCTCGGGGTGGATCTGTCCATCCTTCTGCCTTGAGGGGTGGGGCAGGCTGGACTGGCTGGGAGGAACATCTCGGTGACAAGCAGGGCAATGAAGGGGCTGAACCTTTCAGGGGCTGGGCCATGGTTCACCTGGAGCCATCCCATGACTCACCTATGGCCATGAAGACATCATTTACTTGGTGGTTGGATTTTGCAGATGTCTCCATGAACAGGAGGCCTTTCGTTCGTGCAAAGTCTTCTCCCTCCTAAGAGAAACAAGCAGAGTTATTCCCCTGCCCGCTCTGGGGCTGCTCGTTCAGTTTTATGGTGGATTTCATGTACAGGGACTTCAGAGGTGTCTGAAAACCTCTTAAAAGGTTGAATTTCCTTGGAAATTTTTCTTGGATGTATCCCAGTGCTTTCTGTGTGGGGTGATGAGGGAAACCCAGGCACTCACCTCAGTGGTGACCTCTCGCTCAGCAGCAAGGTCAGTCTTGTTGCCCACCAGAGCAATCACAATTTCATCAGGAAGGAATTTCTTCTCCAGCTCCTCCAGCCACAGCTTTGCTCTGCTGAATGTTTGCTGGAGAGATGTAGACAAAACCACCCAGTGATCAGGTTTTGATTTAATCCCTTTGTCTCAGGCGAAGCCAGCTGGGTGGCACCAAACCAGAGAGGGTGGGGAGGTTCTGCTTGAGGGATAAATCACCCTTGAATGGGATTCATGGCAGCAGAAAACCACCCCTGAGTGGTGGCAGGTCCTGCCAGAGCCTTACCTTGTTAGCAATGTCATAAACGAGGAGAGCAGCGTGGGCATCCCGGTAGTAGAGGTGGCAGACACTCTGGTACTTCTCCTGGCCAGCCGTGTCCCAGATCTCAAACTTGACAGTGGCCTCCTCCAGGTTGAGTATCTGTGTGAAGAAGGAGCCTGCAGGCAAGATGCAGGGTGTGTGTTCACTTGGAGCAAGAGCAGGGAGCTCAGACCCCCTGCCCCGAGGCCAAACACATCCTGAAGGTCATTAATGATGCTCTAATGCACAGAATCCAGGGGGGACTTCTTGTGATCGCTGGCACTGGGCTGAGGTGGCCCTTCCTGGCAGCAGATCTGGGGGGATGACACCAGGTTTGATGCTGGATAACTCTGAGCTTTGCAGAATAGCCCCCAGAGACAGCTCCACCTTACTGGTGGGTCAGAGCTGTGAATGGGAATATCCATGGAAAGGGCTCCCACTGGAGGGGGGCCTCCATCCTTTCCTTCAGGGAGCAGATGTCTGGTCCACAAGCAGAGGGACAAGAGGAGAAGCTCCACTTTGCTCTGCTCCACCAGCTGGCTCTTCAGTTGCAGGTGGGATCAAAGCCTCTGTACCTGCTGTGCCTTCTTAAGACAAAACCCAGGTGCATCTCATAAAATGAATATATGTAATGTCTAGGAGCTGCAGGACCTAGGCAGGGGGAATTGCCACTAGGTGATCTTTAATGCAAACCTTTCTAAGAGACCCTCCTGGGGTGCCTGAATAGCTGGGAAGGCAGCACAGCATGCAAGGAGCAGATAGGCTGCACAGTTTACTCATCATTCTGCTGCTCACCTGCCTCTACAAAGCAGCACAAAGCCAGACCTGTGCAATGTGGATGTGGCTTTGCTTGTGGCCTGGCGCTGGAAATGGGCTGGAAATGCAGAGATGTGAAAGGGGAGGTTCTGCCTTTTGGGCAAATCTGCACCATGCTCCAAAGTAGGTCTGTGCTACTGCAAGATGGACCAAGCAGCTGTCCTGCACCCCACCCTGCTGCAGGGAAATGCACCGGGCCTGGTCTCGTGTCCAGAGCCACCCAGCTGTTGGAGCCACTCACTCACATCCCACGGTTGGCAGCAGCTCCCTGAAGTCGTTCTTCACGTATCTGTAGGCCAGGCTTGACTTGCCCACGGACATGCTGCCCAGCAGGACCACCTTGTACATGTAGGAGGGACGAGGCCCCTCTGGGGAGATGCCCAGAGTCACTGTCTGTGCCATGCCCTGCAAGGAAACCAGCTCTGCTCAATGGGCATCTGCCAGTGAGCCCAGGATCAGCTGAGCCTCCTGCAGCAGCTGGGCAGGTGGGGCTTAACTCCAGAAGAGGCTGGAATAAAATCAAATTATTAATATCATAAGCTGCACATTTAATGCATCAAAGCATCTGCCACTGTCAGCTTTGACCAGGAGGTGGAGATGTTTAGGAAGGAACTCGATGCCAGAAGCTTCCTTGGATGTAGGCGAGGAGATAGGAGGAATTTCCCAGCAGAGGGAAATCCCTTCTAGCTGTGCCTTGCTCTCCAGGACACCTCCTTCCCCAGAGCCCCGGGGAAGAGCTTAGGCTGATGTCCCTCATTTATCCTGGCTAGGAGTTTCATCAGGAGAACCTCAGGAATGAGAGGCCCTGGCCCGAGCACCCCTGAGGAGCAGCAGCACATCAAGAAGGTGACAAATGCTCCTGCACCCTGGGTAAAGACCCCCAGGCAAACCAAGCCCCTGGAATGCCACCCCCATGTCACCCCAGAGTGTGACAGACCACCCTGCTGTGCCCAGGGATGGCAGGGAAACACAGACCCAGTAACAGGGATTGCCTCAAACCTGTCTGGAAGAGAGCTGCTGCAGAGCCTTGGCTGTACCCTGAGCAGTGGGACCTCCCGGGTGACACGCGTGTCCCCTCCTCCCAGCCCTGGGTCACAGAAGTGCCACTGCCCCGCTGCTGGGTGGGAACTGCCAGTGCAGGCAGCAAACAACACTTTGCCCTGCTCTGTCCTGGTTCCTCCTCACAGAGCTCCTCCTCCAAAAATACTCAGCTCATGTGGACAGTGATAGAGGAGAGAGGGAAGTTCACGGGGTGTTGGGCTGAGCAGGATGCCAGGGTGAGCTCTGCTGGAATGGGAGCCTTCCCTCCATGTGGAAGAAAGCCCTGGTGGGGCAGACAGCAGGGATCTGCAAGACTTCTGATGAAGAATTGGTGCAATTCCTACCTGGGCCTCGGGGACGTGGCTGTGGAAGCAAGAAGTACCTTTACAAAGACACCTACAGCAGCAGCAGCAGCAGTGGAGCTCCCTGTCCCTGCAGCTCCCTTTCCTGACAAAAGCCCCTTGTTCCTGTGAGCTGCTCATCCCACGTGGCTCCTTTATTTTGCCTGTCCTCCCTCTGCAATCTGGCAGGCTCCAAACCTTTAGTTCTTCATTAAGGCTGTCATTAAGAGTGTTCCTTGGCTGAACCCAGGTCTGTATCTTTAGATCTAAGTAGTTTTTTGCTGGGTGAGACAGGCTTTAATCCCCTTAAAAAACACAAGTAACATCATCTCCCCCAGCTCATGCAGCCCTGTGATGAAGAGCAGAATCACAGTTTGTGCAGAACAGCTAGTTACTCATATTTTTCAAGCAGGAAAAAGATAAGCCCTGTGGCACAGCATGAATGTCCTTCTTAGGGTATTGATCACATACATGAGGCTCTTTGTAGGCTGGGAACAAAACTGCCATCCATTCTGGGAAGTTATTGTCAGTGATAAGCCATAAAACTCTCTAAGGAAACAGGAAGCTGCTTGAAAACTACCCAAGGTTGTCTATACTAAACACAGTTCCTCATA